TGAATTAATTTCTGAATAAGCTTTTTGAATTAAAAACTTATTCAGGCACATAGTGCCTGACTTACGCATGATCCAGACTTACACCTGAATCAGCAGCTGTCACTGCATCTGCGACATGCAAGTCACATTGTTAAGATTTTTCTCAAAACCCACAAAAGCAACAAATAGCTTTCTCTAAATGAAAATGTAGAACTTATTTTTATGACAGTTGGAATAGCATGTCTGAGTCAGGAGAAGTGCATTTCAAGAAAGAAGAAATACAGGAAGTCCAGACAACAGCAACCAGAATGAATGATATAAGGCACAAGGGGGAAAAAATGCCATTTCTTCCTGAGAAAAAAAAAAAGTGAAGTTGGTTAAGAGAAGAGAGAAAATGTGATTAAAAACCTCAAATATGTAAAATTTTGCTACAAAGTGAGAAAAAGTCTCTGCAACCACAGCACAAAAAGTAACAGGTTTATGTAACTTTCCTTGAGTAAGCTTCAGGTTAGAAATTAGTAAAAACTTTCTAATGACAAGGCTAGTGAAATGTTGGAATAGATTAAGTGAGAAATCAATCATCAAAAATTTAAGCTAGGCAAGCAAGCATTAAAAAGACCAATTTTATTGATCCTGTCTTCATAGAGAGTGGGGGCTTGGGCATGGTGCTTTCTTGGAGACTTTTTCAACTCTGTGACTATTCTGAAATGACTGAAGAAATGGAGCTATGTAGTGATACCAACAGTATATACCAGCACAGTTTGCTGTGGGATCCTGACTTGGAATGAAAGCCATAATTTGCAAAAACTTTTTTTTTTTCATGTTGATAATCACTTGGATTCAGTATCATCAGCCAGTTCTAGATCTATACAGATCTATCTCATTAATCTATACTGCAAGTTCTTCAATTATTTAACAATAATTATTTTCAAGACTAGACTACACATAATATCTAGCTTTAACTGCTAGGAGTAATGATTTAGTAATTTGTTCTGAGGCCTTAAAGACAACACCAGTAAGAAAAACAAAAGACCTTTAGTCTCTGGCAGAATATTTTAAAAGGGATTAGCTTTAAAATATTTTGTTTTTAAATTCTAGATGTGCTCAAAATTCTCAACCCTATGTCTGTATTTGACTATTGAGTAGTGGATCTTTCATTTTTTAAGCTGAAGAGTAGATCATCTCTAAGAGTAGATCACTTACTATTAATGGTGGATTATGTTTAATAATTAGAATTGCAGTCCTCTGAATACTGCATGAGAACGGGTTTATTTCAGAGAACTCTAGTCTCAGGGGCTGTTCTTTATATCTTGGAGAGTTAGCTCAAAATAATTGAATCAGCTTCTCCAGTGAGATATTTCATTTCCAACAAGAAAATTATGAATGTCTAATGTGAAAACTCAGGACAACTATACAGCTGCCAACATGACTGGTGACTAAGTATGCAAAAAAACAACACTCTCTCTCCAAATTCTTCATGATTGCCCTGAGTTTTATTCTATAATAAGCAACACAGAGGAATGGGAAATTTGCATAACCACGCATATTTCTTACATTTAAGTCACCTGCCTTAACAACAGGTAAATGGTAATTGGGGAAACTAAATGGGGAAAAAAAGGAACAAAATTGTTTTATAAAACAGATTTTTTGATGGTGAGGTAGTACTGTTAGGAAAAAAACAAACAAACATGTTTTCTAAAATGTGCATAAGGTGAATTCTATGATAACTGAAAAAGGTACCGCAACAAAACAGAAAGCATCAGGTGTTCTCAAAGTTTCTGCACTTAATAAAGCAGCTCCCTTTTTCAAACCTGTAGTTTGGTAGAAGTTACAAGTGCTTGTGCTTTAGATAAAATCTTCAAAATACCTTTAATCTCCCCTACAAATGCCTGCGCTTTGATTAACATATGCATCATTGCCCCGTTCACAACGGCGGGACAAAAAAGGCACAAAACCCAACTCTACCCTCACGCCCGGACTCACCCAAGGTGCCAAAACCAGGGCTAAAAGTTAAATGCCCCCCATTTTGCTGCCTGGAGCGGGTCACTCTGGAGGGCACACCTTCCCCTCCCCCAGCACCTAAGCACAGGAGCCAGAAGGGAGAGGGTTTCAGGATTAAATTTGAACTTGCCTGCTTTTGTTACTGTGAGTCACCACCTTAACATTATCTCCACTGTAGACTTTTATCTGTGAATATCTAAGCCCTGTCTTGTGGAAAACTAATTACTGAGCCACTGAGAGGCTTCATAATGTCCTGCATTTAAGTCCTGAACGTCATACATAATGCATAGGAAGCAGTCTCTGCACTCTGATTACAGAACACTGTCATTAAGTGAGCAAATTAAAGATGTGAATAATTCACTGGCTGAGCTTATTGTCAGTGCTGCATTGTGGAATTAGAATTTCTAATAAGTACTGCAATTTTTTTAACCCAATTAACACAGAGAACATCTTGAGTCTGATTAGTACAATAAAAATTATTACCTTATTCTTTTGCTTCACAACAGGCAAATTAAATACTGTACTTAATTATGCAGCATTCATCGCTTCTGTGATAGAATAAAAAAACCTCACTCTTGCTTTAATAAGAGTTCTAGTATCTAGAATACCACCAAAAACCAGAGCATTTGAATCTCTAGCACAATTTCTGATCACAAAGTTTTTCTTTTTTTTTTTTTTTTTTCAGGACTTTGCAAATCAGTTTTAACATCAGTGGTCGACCATGATGTCACTGCTGAAGTCGTCTCTGGAAACAAAAAATGTATTTGGGAGGAAAAAAAACACAGAATGACCCTTTCAAACAAGCTCTGAATATCATCATGAATTAACTTTTGGGGGATGATGTAATGGCAGGGGAAAAAGATCCACTTAATGATTCTCAGCATGCAAACAGCTTGTGTATGTATTGTATGTACGTACATATATACATATCTACAAACATATACATGCTATATACACACACACACACATAAATGGAATATATGCTGCTTCAAAAAGGCACTTAGGAAAGGTACCAAGGAAAAGAAGGAGCTGGAATAGCTGTCTTACCTCAGCTCCCCCTCGGCACGGGATAGATAACATCCTTTCATCCTAGGAAGGAGGGAAGTCCGACTCAACATCCAGCATGTTGCTTTTCCCGCATGCACGGCGCCTGCTGCCATATTAAATAAAGAAAATGATCACTGAGGATGCAGCTTTTGTCTCCCAACGCTTTTAGGCTGCCTTTGGGTGTCAGGGAGCCCAGGCACCCCAGCACATCTGGCAGGGCAGCGCACACCGCTGCCTGCAGCTGCTGCAGGGGGATTCTCCTCAGCCCCACGTCCTTCCAGCTCCTTTTCCTTCCCCATCCCAGGGAAGTTTAGTCAGCCAGGCTCGGTGGGGAAAAAAAAAAAAAAGGAAAAAGAAAAGAAAAAAAGAAAGAGAAAAAAAAGATAAAAGAGAGAAAAAGGTGGCATTGTAACCATGAGATTTCTCAGATTTTCTTCCTAGAGGCAGGGACTGCAGCAACCACCTTGCATCTTTGTCTAGTTATTTCAGCATGTGCATGCAAGAGAGAAAAAAATAAAGGAGCCCTGAAAATCATTCAGACACAATGCAATAAAGAGAGAGGGAGAGGAGAGAGGGAGGGAGGGAGAGAGAGAGAGAGAGAGGAAAAAAAAGCACAGAGACTAAGAGAGAGAGAGGGGGCTGTCAGCGCAGATAAATCTGCATATGGAAATCAGGGTTATCCTGGGTACAGTTTTATTTAACCATGATGTACTGCTTTTTTAATTAGACGGGAATTTAGAGAAGGAAATGAGGGATTTTTACATACACAAGAGCAAACGGAGCTTTTCTAATCACAGCAGTTTCCACAGCAAGCTGTAGCACCGACAGCAGAACTTTTTTTTTTTTTTTTTTTTTTATGGTAACTTTCCTGTTAGAAAGAAAAGTTTTGTGCCCTGCTGCTAATTTATATGAAAAAAAAAAAAAAAACAGAAAAAAAAGTAGAGGATTTTGAAATTAAACTAACCAACAGCAACGTAAAATAATGCAATAACTACTGAAGAGATCAAGACGACACCATTGCATAATACGTATTTTAAGCAAAGCTATGCCCAGTACAGGCTTTAAGACTTTCTCTCAGGCCCCTCCAAATGCCCTAAGCATGGATGTGGTTTAAGTAATTAAGTGAATGAAAAGGGCAGTACCTAGCCCAAATTTTGGATGTGCTGAGCACAACTGTCCCTGTGTGGGGAGCACTGCTGCACAGGGAACAGGTGTCGGAGAGGAAGGTGAAGGATGGGGAGGGATGGAGGGTTTATCTGGCATCAGAGAAAGGATGGGAGATGGGTCTGTGCTCAGGGCTGGTGGGAAGAGGGGAAATGAGGAGGAAAACCAGGTCCTGCCACAGTGAATCTAGAGGCTGGACTGGGCCAAGTGTCCAACAGGATGGTGGCTGACAGAGACACAGGAAGAGCGGGAAGCAGCACCGAGGTTTGCAGGGTTTGTTGGCAGACGGGTGGCAGTCAGCTCGGGGGCAGGGTGGCCACAACAAACCCGCGGTGGCCGGGCAGGCAGAGGGCACCTCGTGAGGGTCGGGATCAGGAGGGGCGCAGGGGCGCGAACCCCAAGCGCGGAAACCCGGGCAGGGGGCAGGCTCAGCCGCAGGGCGGGCAGAGGGGGAACGAGGGGCAGGCGGGCGCGAGGCCGGCTCGGAAGGTGCCGGCAGTGCCGGGCACAGCGGCCCGGGGGGGCGCTGGCACGAGCGCCGAGCGCCACGGCTCCCGCGGCCGTTGGGGGCGCCGCGGCCGTTGGGGGCGCGCGCGCGCGCGCGCGGGGCGGGGCGGGAGGGAGGAGAAGGGGCGGCCAATGGGCGCCGCGGCGCCTGCGCAGTGCGGCCGTGACGGCAGCGCGCGGGACGCACGGAAAAGCGCGCGGGGCGGAAGGCGGCGGTTGGCGACGACGGTTGGCGGGGTCCGTAGTGTGCGGGGCCGTTGGTGACGACGGTTGGCGGGGGCCGTAGTGCGCGGGGCCGTTGGTGACGACGGTTGGCGGTGGCGCAGGTAGTGCGCGGGACTGCCCCTCGCTCGCCGTGTGCGGCGCCGGGGCGGCCCCGCGGGGCCCTTGCGCCTCGTGGTCCGCGCTGGGGCCGCCGCTCGCCGTTGTCCGCCCGTGCAGCCCTGGGCAGGGGCCGCGGAGCAGGGGCCGCGGGGCGGCTTCCTGCGCCCGGCCCGGCGGCGCCGCCGCCCCGCCGCGCTTCTCGGGGCAGGGCTGTGCTTCGGTGCTGGGAGCCCACGTCAAAAGCGGGCGCCGGCAGCCGCTGCGGGGCCGGGCCGGGGCCCGGGGTTCCGCGGACAGCCGCCTTGGGGGCGTACGCGAAACGTGGGGGCGATGCTGGCTGTAACGCTAAGCCGCCCAGGGAAGAAGCCTCCAGGAACTTTTAAGTTACTCTGAGCTAAGTTACTTTGAACTAAATATTGTTGAAGCCAGGCCTTTCACGGCCTGCATCCTTGCCCCTCCTTTGACCTTAATGCTATTTTGACCCCATAGCCGGTCAGTTCAGAGAACCAAACCACCTGAAAATGCACCCGTCTTGCCCGTTTGTAGGGTGAGGGGTTTTGATCATTTAACTCCCTGAACTGGTTGCTGTGGGGGAAGACAAATTGCAGAGCTGCATGGAGCAGCAGCCTGTGCCAAGGGGTGGAACCGTGTCTGTCCTTTTGTTTTGTTTTGGTTGTTTCTTTGTTTGATGGTAGCTCTCCGGCTGTTTTCACAGCACAGCACTGTGCTTCTGTGGGGTGCAGATTTATGCACTCGGGTGCAAATTTAGGAGGTAATGTAATAATGAAAAAGTCTTCATTAAAATATTGAGTTTTGTTTATTGATTACTTACATTTTCTAGAGCAAGTGAAAATAATGGATGATGACTGGGTTGATATGGATTCTTTCACGCCCCCATTCCTCACTGAGAGTCTGGAGATGGCAATGGAAGTGGAGAAAGAGAACTCCAAGCCGTCCTGCTTTTCTTGTGTTTTTGACAACCAAAACGGAGGGAGAAGCTTCTCTTCAGAGTCTTATTTGGCTAGTGGGTCTCTTAAGAGGTACGCTTTTGTTGAGTTACATCTGTAATGTAATTGCTCTAGGTGATCTTGTGTGAGCAGGGGGGTTGGACTAGATGAGCTCTGAGTCCAACCTTAAGCGTTCTATGATTCTAATGTTCTTTCCATAAATGTTGAGTGTCTCAAGATGCTGACAAGGTCTCCACATCAGTTCTTCCTTGAGTTCCTATAGGGCTGGGTCTAGGCCCTAGCCCTGTGAACTTCATCTCTGGTGGTGTAAATGATGTGTCGCAGTCTTAATAGAACTCTTCTAGGCAAAGCACTTGAACAATTCCCCTGCTGGGTAGCAATATCTAAGACTTGCTGCAGACTATACTGCTAATACAGTGGTAAAAGATCAATGATACAAGACTGCAGGCATTGAATCATTAGCACTGTTCTTAAATTCTTTCGTAATAATCCTAGCTTTATTTTACAGGGTTTTGCTGAGACTAGATCCTTCTCCAAATGACTATGAGGAAGATATAGTGGAAATGTTTGGCTTTCAGTGGGTAACTGAAACAGCATTGGTTGAATCCTGTGGTCTTCTCTTTGGACTACTTAGGTACAGTGTCTTTAATGTATTCTGTGATTAATACAGTTCAGCAGTTGTACACATTTACATAAAGAGCTTAACAAACTTTTTAAAGTTCTGAATAATAAGAAAGACTGTGGGTCATGTACCTAAAAGACTATTATCTGTGTAATCCTCTGATAAGTAGTGGGAAACACCCAGGTGACGTGATTGGAGGAAATAAATTCTGTCTTGTAGAGGTGTAATATTATGTGACTTATATTTTGAAACAGCATAGTGCATAGCACAGCTACAGACAGATACCGATTTATAAATATACTTGCTAAATGATTTTGTGATAGTTTAGAAAGCAGAGTAATATTTGTCTGGCATCAGAGTATATGAATAAACTTTGTCAGATTTCCTTAAATGATATTGCACTGTATTTAAACTGCTATTTCCACCCCCCTTCTTTTTTTTTTTGTGTGCGTGGATAAAGAAAAGTAGAGGTTAAAAATCAAATACTGTGAATGTTGGATGCAGTATTTTCTTTGATTGTTTGGATTAGAATAGCTTCAGCAATCTCAGATACAGTTGCTCAGTGTTTGACTAATGCAATACAGATGTTTAATCTGGTCAGTGCAAATACACATATCACTGATAATCCGCTTTGCTACTGATAATCCTCAGGATGTACAGCACATGCAGACGGTTGTTGGAAAAGGTGCTTTTGTTCAATACATGGATAGGTGATATATTCCATTATTCCTTTGACTATGGTGGATTCTTCCACTCTTTGATGGCGTGGCCAAGAGCATGGTGTGAGCTGTCTTCAGTTGGGTCTGGCTGTTGGAATATGATGGCATAAATGAAAGGAAGTGCTTTAAAAACTACTATTATTTGTTTTTGCTTGTTGAGGCAAATTTTTACCCTACTGTTCGTTGTTTTTCTCTACTTGATAGAGAGATAGGAAGAGACTCAATTAATAAAAAGCACTGTATCCATTTCGGCATCCTCTCTGATCAGTTTATTAGCAAAAAAATAAACTGATGGGCAATCAGACAGCAATGTAATTGACCTTTGGAATAATTTTTTTCTTTCTAAAACTAAACCTAGTTCTCTTCTAATTGTCATAGAGGCAAATATAGGACATAGTATATTTTATTATTTTTTTGAACTATTCAAGTTGTATATTTTGCAATAGCTTTTAATAATAAAACCATTCGAGTAATAGAAATGATGGATTTGAGCTGACTCTTAGCTCTGAGAGTTTGGTTGCTAAGCTGTCTTTTGGTGTGGCAAGTCCCTCTGCAAAGATATTCTTTCTTTCAGTTCATTTATTTAGTCATAAAATGGAACTCTTTCACTTACAGAGCAGTTGGTAACTGAAAGTAGGAAAGCTTATTTCTCCAATGTAGAAATCGCATGTGAAAGTGCAAGTTCTGCTCCTATTTTGAGGTCAGGGTGACCCCCCCCCCCCCGGCCCATTTCTGACACACTTACTCTTAACTTTCAGCCTCAACAGCCTCTTTACTTAAAGTTAACCATTTTTTGACTTCTTTCCATTCTAACCAGCTGAAATAGTAGAATAGTTTGAATGTATGCTGCAAGCAGAAAGCTGCTGGCAACGTTTCCCAGTACTCCTTCAGAAATGAATGAATTTAGTGTATGCCATGAAGGCTATCATTCCAATTTGGGGGTCAAATGTGAGGGAGATTGTGGGAGGATCACACTAAATGTGCAAAAGATGCTTGCGATAAGGAAGTTTGAGTGTTTGATTTCTGTTTGGTTTTTTTTTTTTTTTTTCCACTTGGGTGTTTAACTAATTTTATCATTGATTTTGTGTTTTGGAAACAAACAAAATACTGACCAGTATTATTGTTTCACACTGGATGTACGTAGTAAGCTTTCTCAGAACAGATGTGTTCCTTGCTTTGTATTTTGGTTTAAAATCGTACTAAAATGTTATTGAATACCTTACATTTGTATAAATACCATAAATGTTTATTTCTCTCTAATTAGGCAACAGATATACAGATTGGAAGACCTAGCACAGATGAGTTCCTCTGATTTCAGTAAGTTTAACTTGTTTCATTTTACATGGGGTAGATATCTGACTGTATTTTCACTATATGTATTATATAATCCACATAAACCTGCAGTAGATGTAGTAACATATGCAACAAATTGATATAAGCTAACGTGAAGAGAGATATATGACCATGCTAGCTGAAAGTGTTATGAGCCAGTTTAGAATTGGATCTTCCTGTGCAAAGGCACAGGTCAAAATCCTTGTTTTATTCAGTTAGTGAGGAATGCTATATTAACTAGATAAGAAATAAGATATGTCTCTAACAAGGCAGAATTTGGAAAGCCTGCTTACTCAATTAAAATGGAAGTTGCATTAAAACTTCCAGTAACTGTTCTGGTTATAAAAGTAATTGGTTAGGGCTCTTCGTTACCAGCACAGTGCTTTCTTGGCTTACATTTAAACAAGTTAGTTATATTTGCTTAATTTAGAAGTTATTTGCAGGTATTTATCATTGCAATTGGATTGATGAAATAAGAGCTGTACAAAACAATTTGTCTGAATTAGATATTAGGGTGTGAGAGGCAGTCTGTTTCTGAAAGGTGATTGCAGCCTTGGGCTTATTGTGAGTTTGAAGGCTGTGTACTTAGCAAGTACAGAAATTCAGTAATTGCTGAGATCCCTGTCTGTAGTATCTTCCTGTTGCAGATAAACCAGTCGTATTATAAGAGCACAAGTGGATATTCTCATGCCCTTTTATTATTAATTTAGTTTTTAATTTAGTTTAAGCTTGTCATAAGATGTTTCTATTGCTGTGAACATAACTAGTAGGAGTCTTTCATATGCTTTTGCTGATAGTATCTTAAAAATATAACTTTAGTTGAAATTAATATCTAATTGGAATAACTATTTTAAATTAAAGTTATTATTCATAGCATAGTTGGACATCAAGTAACTGTTTTGTAATTTTTTCTTCCTTAAATGTAAACATGTGGTTCTCTTGTTTGTTCCTTCATTTATGAAATAAATTAGTAAGCTAAAATCAGCATAAAGGTTATATGGAAACATGTCAAAAATGTGGATACTTCTTCATGTCCAGTTCTCTAATACTGGATGCATAATACTCATATTTGGTCTAATTGCATAGCAGGAATTTGGATTCAGTGCCATTACTGATAATATTGCTATTGTCTCTGCTAGGTCATATATGATGTTCGTTGTGAAATAAACTTTGCATGCAGTTTTAACTGTACCTGAGCTTTAGCAACTTTATTTTACTATAAAAATAATTACTTTAAAATAGGCTGTTGTATAAAATGCCCTTAATGTAGTATAATGAGCATGATAATTTTTCTGGTGAAGCAGTGCTTTAACTCTGTAGCCTGAAGCAGGGATTAATATTGGAAGGTGCATGTAAAATGGGCACAGAACTGATATAAATGTGTGCAAAACTCGGATAATCCCAGGGAAATGTGATGTGTAAATATGCTCCTGGACCAAATTGTGAGAAATGAATACAAACTGTCTAGACTGCTGAAAAGACATCGGACCTGATTAGAGTCCTCTTCAGGAAGCATTTCTGCATTTCAGGGCCATGTCTAGCACCTATGAGATCTGAATTTTATGCTATATGTCAGACCACTTTTGCCACTTGGAGTAAATCAGTGATGCATCTGTGCCTCAGTCTTCTATTTATTTGAGGAAGGTAATAGTAGGGGTATAGCGTGAGGATATAAACATTTAAAATGAACAGACAATGTGATGATAAGTATTATTGATAGCTCAGTTAAATGGGCTATTGTCGCAGTTGAAAATCAAGGGGTTTTTTTTAGTTGAAAGGATCTTTGTTGTGCATGTTCCTTTATGTATATGTATATACTTGTATAGATATCAATATCATATGTTTTCTTTAGTTATCAGTCTTAAGGAACATTGGAGGTTTTGATTTTCTTGAATATAAAGTGAAAAGTGGGAATGCAAGGGGTGATTCTCACAACAGTGACAATTGGTTACCACAAAGCTTGCCTTAGCAAAGGTGTTTGGGTTTGCAGGTACAAGGTAGTGAGGGCAACACCATGAAAACCACAGCAGGAAGCACCAAGGGACAGGCAAAATACCACGATTGAGGCAGAGGCAGTCACAGTAGCTAGGTGGAAGGATGCACCCTGCAAGCAAAAAGCAGGCTACTGCACTGCAGAGAGAAGGCTCTTAGCATTACAGGGCTTAGGGTGGCTAAGGCACTGGGCAAATGCACTGCACCACAATGTGCTGCTTCCTGGAAGATGTTACAAAGCAAAGTGCCAGATAAGACTGTCTATCTAAGCGTTTCCCCGAGAGAAAAGGATGCTAAGAAATTGTTTCATACTGCTGTCTTTTCTGAAGCTTCTGGGAGGAGACAGGGAGCAGAGCAGTAGGGCTGAATAGTTTGTTCTAATAGTGATTGCTTGTCCTCTACCCTCTTTCCTGAGGGTTTGGGTGCCTTGGTTTGGGTATCTGGATATGTACCTTTGATGATAAGATTAAAGAATTATGGATCCCTCTGGCCAGATGGCTTTTGAAAGTGGGTAGTTGCCACCAGAAAATTCACTTGGCCTGCATACTCCCCTTGCCCCAAACCTGGCTTCAGGAAAAAAATGGTGGCTTCATGTGATTCATGAATCACAGGTTTGGAAAAGTCAGCTTTAAGCTATTGATTTTTTTCTTTTACTTCAGGTCAAGCTGCAAACATGCACTCTGAAGCGGACAGCATCAGGCAGCAGTGTATTGAGTTTTTGCATTATGTGAAAGTTTTCATCTTTAGGTGAGATTTACACGTAGTGTACTTACTTTATGTACTGAACTCTGTCTAGCTGTTTTTCACATGTTCCTGGATTGTGTGTCTCTGTCTCTGTTCAGGTATCTGGAACCTCCTAAAGCAGAAAATGATGGAATGCTCCACCCGTATGAAGAACTAGAAGCCCAACTACCATCATTGTTGGTGGAAGAACTTCATTCTTTAACTCTACAAATTGGTCACCTTTATGAACTTCCTAGTAGTGTTCTGGCAGCGTTTACTATTCAACATCAGGCAAAGGTTGACAGCTTTTGGAATTTTAAATTTATTTGTGTAACAGTCTGTGTTTTACTTGAAAAAGTAAAAATGAATAAGAATTAATATTGCTTCAGAAAAGAAAATTAATTTATGCTTTCTATTTTTCCCTTTTTTAAACTTAAGTGCCATCTCATTCTTCAAACACAGCTAAAGAGCTCTTGATATACTCTTTTATTGTTATACTTTATTCCTTTTAAAATTCCTCCTATAATATGCAAATGATAGCAATTACAGATAAATAGGTAGACTTGAGATAGTATGACATGTTACAAATTTCTCAGCGGTTGTCCATGATAATGGTTAGAATATTGACAACTTGGAGTTATTTTAAGTGGATGCCTGACTGTTGACACACTTCATGTGCTCCCTAATACTTTTTGGAAAGGATAACTAAATGCATTTAATCTGGAAAATCTCAACCAAGACGTTGTGGCTGAATTGTAGTTTAGATGACTACATCTTCATGACTTTGTAATCTACAGACAAAATTAATTGTCTGGAAGCTCATTTCACAGAATGGCGTGTTTGTATGTTATATTTGATTTGATTGTAGATATCAATAACATTGCAAGACTGTATGCCCATCTTCATGTGCTTTAGCAGCATCACAAATTCACTAAAGAAATATAAGTAAAAACTAAATGGCTGTATTTTTTTCTTAATTATAGCTCTTTCCTCCATCATGGCATTTATTACATCTCCATTTGGATATCCATTGGCTAGTGTTGGAAATTCTTCATGTACTAGGTGAAAAGATGATGAGTAAGTATATGTTTTGATTTTTTTCTGAAATATTCTTTTGCAAATGACTTATCTAGATTTCTCATCCGAAACTGTCTAGAATAAGTCGCTTTTTGTTAGAGTAATTACTAAGCATATCTGTGTTTAATTGATTATGGTCAAATAGGATGAACACTTCGTTTCTGTTGTTATTTGGTTTTCTTTTTTCGAATCTTCACAGTGCATTACCCCTCTGTGATTAAATCTTCCTTAATATAGCCCACATTAAATGAAATAGCTTTGGGAATTTGTTGTATCAAGAGTTGACGAATATTATAAAGTTCTTTCTCAACTGACACTTGCAACTAAATATTTGATAATATATATTTGACAAAGAAAAATGCATTTGCAGAGATGTAAATGTATAATGGTGCACTGCAGTCTAATACAAACAATATAGGAAAAGTGCCCAAGGATGGGCCAGAGCTAGCACTCTCAGATGCTTTCTCAAGAGTCAGAACATCAAAAGAAGAAATATTCTTTTAGTGATGATTCTTCATTGTGAAGGTCTAAAATAGAGAATCCACACTGCTAACCATATCTGACATTAAGAAGATGCTGGGCAAAGGCTCGGTCAGAGGAGTTTGTAGAAATAAAGCAAGAAAAGGGCAAGGCAAGATTTTTTTTTAATGGATTTTAAAAGGGCATGGAATAGACTGATATAAGTAAGCTGTTCAAAGCAGCTGAACAAAAAAGGTCATGGGATGCAGTTGAGGAACCCAACTTAAAAGCAGGTCCTTTTTTTTTGGGGGGGGGGGAGGGAGAGAGAGAGATAATTAAAATACAGAACATGTCTTTTTTTTGTTGCTGTTTTCAGAACTGTTGATGCATTGTTCATTTCCATGTCAGCAGAATAAATCACAAAAAATAGGCTTTCTCCTTTAATCATTGTTGCGTTACACCAAAGCCCCACTTCATTCCATATCGCCTATACAAATTCCCTATAAGAACTGCAACAATTGGAGTCATATTGAGGTCTATCTAGAGGCCGATATGACTAGTCCAGGTAACTGGTATTGAATCTGAGCTCTTTGGATTGACATTAACACTTTTGAGTGCTGTTGGAGCACAGTTTTGCTCAGATTATTAACTTCACTGTTTTCTTCACATCTGTTTCTGGATAGCCTGGTTTTTGGCACTTTATTGTGAAGAAAACTTCACAGTGTCTTTTATGATATGTTGTGGGATAAACTCTTTTCTAGTTTGAGGCCTTTTGGAGAAGGATGGGAAGACTGTTGGCTCTCAAATGATCTTTCTTTTTTTCTCCATCATGGAAGAGATGGTTCTAATCCAGAGCTGTGCTTTGATTCACACATATATGCATATATATAATCATATAAGCATGAACATATTCAAAAGACACATGAAAACAGGGTTGAAAACCTTTGTTCAGATGTTATAGAGAACATGGGTAAGAAAAAAATTATTAAAGCTAAAACTATAGTGTAGGCATTCTGGTAGTTCCTTATGGAGATCTACCACTCTCTTAACTGAATTGAACTCAATGGGGGGGGGGAAAAAAAAAAAAGAGAAAAGAAACAGACGAATTTAGTCAAAGCAAAGCTTTCTGTTATTTCAAAATGTAATTGATTTTTTTTCAAATTTAAAAAAATTTATGTGATCTTGATATAATGTAAAATTAACTTATATATTAGCTCAAACAATGAATTCTTATGTGTTTGAATCTGTTTTTTAAGTGGATATACAAAGCCAGAATAATATAGCTAATTAATTAGCTATTAATTAATTAGCTAATTAAGTTAATTTGTTTTGCTTGAGAGTAACAGGATATTTGTAATTAACTTTAACCTCACTTCAACACAGGGATTCTTTATCCCTGGCCTTCAGAGCTGTTTTTTGTTGTTTTTCTTCTATTCGGGAGCCATGAGTTCAGTATTTCAAAAACAGAATTATTTATGGGACCCACAAAATTTAGCACTGTACTGAGACAGGTGCTGAGGGGAAAATGGATGTGTTTTGAGAATGTTCTCAGACTGAGGGTTATTTCAGCATTTGTATAATGCCAACTATGTGACCTGTGCTTTACGGAGCACTTGTAGGGCAACGTCCTTCTGAAAATCTGAGCTTGTAGAGTGGTGTAAAAACAACATGGTTGGGAGGATGTTTCTTAGACTTTCATCTCGTTCCATGAAGCCTGCTAAGTGAAAACTTCACACTGCTGAAATCAGTGGCAGGTTAGTGGGCTCAGAGCTTCACCCCGCATTTCCAGGAATAAACAGAAGCTTCATCTGCACATCTTCTGTTCCACTGATGTCAGGGGAGCCGTACTGTTGGGAAGCGAGTGAGATACAAGATCTTGCAGCCTCTTAACTCTACCATGTTATCTGTGTTAAGGTCTGCAAATGCTCAAGTTGGAGTAGGATCATGCCAGCTTTTCACATCAACACATCTCAAGGAAAGTGTTAGACCTCCCTAGAATTGTTTGTCATCAGCTTGCATATCTGCAAAACATGTCGTGATTTCAGAACATGCGCACTGGCAGGTGTCAAAGGAATTTGGAGATAAATAAATTTTTATTCCCCTGAAAAGGCTGTGGCAATAAAAGACTGTGAAGTGCCAAACCATACTGTCAACCAGAACAATATCAAATTGCTGTGTAATAATGAAAGCACTACCTTGAACTTAGAAGGGATGAACTTTCCCAAATGAGTTTGTAAATGAAGACTACATATAGCTCAAACCAGTTTCATGATACACAGTATAGTTTAAAAAAAGGAATCTGTCTTTCCTTGTATTCCTAGAACCATTGCCAGGCCTAAATAGATTTTCTAATTTTCTTTTGTCTTTTAGGACAAGTTGTATATGCTAACCATTTCATAAACCTAACCGGAGAGAATTTAACCAGTATCAGTTTATTTGAATCACACTGTGGAAATCTCATATATGATTTAATAAGTATATCCATCAATAAGTATCTAAAAGTAAGTTTTGATTTTTTTTATTTTGGACAAATTAGATGCTTTTATTGAGAACCATATTAGGTGCTCTACCCATGCATAGATTACTTCTAACTGATAAGTTTTAAATGTTATGTGTGGTTTAGCATCTCCATGTTTTAAACAGTGTTATTTGTTAGGAGCTCAAATTGTGTTATATTTATTCATGACCATCTGGCAGTTGAATGAGAGAGTAATATTGAGATGCACTGTGTGCAGAGCAGAAGTGTGCCACGTTTCATAAGTTCAGTGTTCTGGGTTCCATGCCAAGCATGGCACAGTCTAAAAGGTTTAGAGCCATAGATTGGAAAAAAAACCCTCTTTTCAACCTCTCTCCACAGGAACAAAAGAGTTACTATAATATTGGCATTAAGCTAACTGGACACTTAGAGAATGTCACTGTACACTTTATAGTTCAACAGTTTCAGCAATTTTGTCTTTTCAGCAATTGCATCTTTCCATTATAGTGCATCTTTTCTATTACATTTGTCAAAGGAAAACCTTTTTTTCCTTAATGTCCTTCCTCCTTTCTTTCTTTTTCTTCCTCTGGCTGCAATGTTTTTCTTGCTTGTCTAAAGCAATCCAAAACTAGAAAGTCATAATAGCTCCATATATCAACCTCTAAGAGCTGTGCAATCTTCTTTGACTGTGTCACTGTGAAACCTGCTTTAGATGGGTATGTGTGATCCATGAATTCAGCAAAAGACTCGAAGAATAACTAGCAGTGACCACTGTATAATGTGTATTTTCCAGGTACAAAGATACGAAAATCGGGGCCCTCCTTTTCTGCTTTCCTCTATGGAAAGGGAACAACTGTGGTAACGTCTGAGAAATCTTCTGTTAAACAGTCTTGTCAAGGAGAATTAGAATTCTTTTATCTTTTTAAGTTGATTTTGATGTAGTAAATTTTTGCGAATATTGGAAACTACTGCCCCCTCAAAAGACAAATAGGAAGTGAATGGCCTTTCTAAAGCAAGATTCAAGTACTATCTGTTGAACACTGTGCTTAGTGGTGAACTCTGCAGTGTCAGATGCTAAACTGAAATCCCCCTTCTGGCAGACCGGAAAGATCCTTTGTGGCCAGCGAGACATGAAGTGATAAAAGCCATTGCTTCTCATACCATCTTAGTGTGGATTTGAGGCTAGATGATATCAGCTTCTCAGTCTCTTTTATTTTCCTGTGTTAGCAGTAATTACAGACTCCTCAAGTACAAGAGGGACTTGGATTATCTGCAAGTGGTAGGTGAAGATACTTAGATGTTGCATCAGGTGGCATTCCTCGTAACAGGTCTGAAGCTTTGATCGCAAGAGGGTTTGCGTAGCTAATGCTTCCATAAAATCTCCTGGTGTTTTAGTGCATCTGCATTAGGGAGATTGATCCTTCTCGAGGGATCTATTAGATTCGTTGAGTTAGAGTATTTTTGAGGCTGTTTCAGCTTTGGGAAGTCAGCAGTTAAGTAGTGAATATTATTAGATTTTAGTGGTCACTTTGAGGTTTATTCTTGTGATAATATTTGCATAAGGTTTTTGGTTTGTTTTTTTTGAGATTCCTGGAAGCATGAAGAGGCAAAGGCATGTGAATAACTCTAAATAACCTACATGGAATGTGAATAAGAGAATTATTTTAAGAACTTAAATCTGATGTCATCACTTTTTTTTTAAACTTTGGCACCAAAATGTTCTAATTGTGAGAGTGTGATTTTTAGTCCTCTACTCCCATTTCTGTATTGTCTCTTTCATGTTGCTGCTGCTGTTTCTCACAGCAGTGAGAAAGTTCTCACAGGAACTTCTTTACTGTGAGGGTGACAGAGCCCTGGCCCAGGCTGCCCTGCCCTGGAAGGTTGTGGAGTCTGCTTCTCTGGAGGTCTTCCAAACCTGCCTGGATGCCACGCTGTGCCCCGTGCTCTGGGTGTCCCTGCTGGAGCAGGGGGGTTGGACTAGGTGATCTCTAGGGGTCTCTTCCAACTTCAGCCATTCTGTGATAGCGACAGTTCTTCTTCCAGCAATAAAAGGAGTCATCACTTGCTCTAGGTGACCATTTCTTTCTTGGCTTTGAGCAGAGTTTCGGCTGGTTACCCAGAGTTTCACTCCTGACTGCTAAGATTCCTGGTATTGGGAGAAAAATTCAAAATCTGTAGGATAAATTTAGAATAACTTGCTTTCTCTTACCTCATATTACATTTCTGCTTGCTCTTTTGCTGGTTTTGTTTCACAATTCAGGGAATGTAAAACTGAAAGATGAATCACAAAAGACTAGTTTGCATTTGGAATTCATCAGTCTAAGAGTGAATTTTGTTAAATATGGAATAGTAATCAAATAACATACATAACTTGAAATACGTTTTTTTCTGCATATTAAAAAAATGCCTTGCAGTAAATTTACCAAAAAGCAAATTTAGGGAAATGTTGTAGGAACATTAACATCCTCAGGCCAACAAAAGCATATTCCACTAGCATTATGCCTAGTCATTAAGGTTTCTTGAGTTAAAAATAACAACAATAATAGCTATTAAATCATTTGAAATCTTTTTCTTATCTTCCCAGGAGCATCAAGAAAATCTAATCAATCATTTTCTCTTTTCCTCACTGTCAGGCAGTGAATCAGTATTTATTACAATTCCATTTCATTTAGCCCTCAGAAACCCATTTTCATTTGATTAAATGTTTGAATGTGGCTTGGAAAAACACCTAAGAAATAGTACAGCCTATAAGATACGTAAAATTATGAAACAAAATCTTTGTTGCTTGTGAGATGTGTTTTTGGATGCTAATAGGATAATGTATTTTCCAGTACGTAGTTGTAGATGTATTATTTAACTGGGAAAAAAAAAAAAAGAAAAAGGCATTGGTACATGAAATGCAATTTCAGAACCCCCACTTTTCCAGGTAATAGGACTGCATATTCTCTTTCAGGTGAGACCTTCTGAAGCTCTTACTAGTCACCATTACCCCTGTACCTGCATTAAGGAATTATGGATTCTAGTTATTCATCTGCTAGATCATAGAAGTAAAGGATCTCACACGGAGGTAATGGGAGAATATTGTTACATATGCATACATACTGCATGTGCAGTGGCCAGATGTCCTCAGAGTGCCACATATATCTGGTGGTAAAGTTGAACTTCATTTTTGCAGGCTGGAGGGCTGCATGCAAAATGTGAGGCTTTATGCTGTGTGTTTGAATGTGTTAAGTCCAGGCTCCAGCTTCCCAGCTTACTGTTTAGTTATGACTTGGGCCAGTGGCAAAGACAGCTGCTCATGCCCTTGGTGGTGCAGCATTCTAGCCCTACAGCATTATTCCTTCTGCTCTTGATTGTGCCTGTAAAGTGTCACATCGGGTTTTCACACCAGCTGACCAGAGCTGGTCCTTTCACGCTGCTTTCTGCTGGCATCTGAGACACGGCATCCTAAAATGGTTCCAGGTTTTCTCTGGTAGAACAGTGTTCACACTGTTGTTTTCTTAAATGTCTGTCACCTGGCTTGTTTGCTGCAAAAACAAATTTATCAATACAACAATATTGTAGGGAAGACTGTTAATGGGTTTTGTTATTCAACACATTTCAATTTACTTTTCCATTTTCTGCAGTCTTTCTGGAGCTCAGTAAATATAAATCTAAAGAAGGTCTTTGAGAAACCAAGTAATTCTGACAGGATGTCTGGTTTTGAGACAATTCAGTGTAAAGACCCATTGAGTTTTAGCTGGTGGATTATTACACATCTGGCATCACTCTACCAGTTTGATCGTAATGGAAATCTAGATGAAAAGGTAGGTATACCTTTTCTAAATACCTCAAAGCTGTGTATTTCTTTTTTAGATCTGAAAATGTGTTTGGTTGGTTTTGTGGGCTCAAAACGATAGAAGAATTTTAGCATACATGTTACCAAATGTCCTTTAAAACTCACGGCAATAAGATGTCCTTGGTGCAGTTTGCTGTGTACTGCAGGATATAGTCAGTTGATATATTGGTGCCTAGCTCAGACCTGCACCTGCATTTCCTAAGATGGCAAGGTAAGGCCACTGCTGCATCAAGTTCCTTCATGGGCCCTACCATTCCACATGAATTCTGCACTTCCAAAGCAACCTAAACTTTCACCCTTCCTTCAGTCTCTTACTCTGAAATTCATCCTGCCTAGTTTTATGTTTCTCATCATTTACTGGGAAGGAAATAGACACTTGCTGAGGCAATTCATCTATTCTGAGGCACAAAAGTTGCCAAATTTCTTTAATTGATTGAAGATGGAGCTGCAGTGGACTAGTGATGCCAAAGATAACTGAATATCAGAGATCTTGTTTGTTAGTAGCTTCATGGTCTGATGAAGCTCTCAACATGAGGGAGAATCTAATTGTAGTCTCTTCCAACCTTTTATCCATCTTAGCTGCAGAAGTGTCTCATTTCAATCTTAATTTTATACTATTTTGTGGTATAAACATTTTGACTTTTCTGAAGCTGAACTGAAGCAGTTTCCCAAGCATCACCTATATACAGTTCCTTCAAAATTAGTCTTAATTGCACTTCTAAAGTACACTATTTTTCTGAAGCACAGTATCTTTCACTGTTTGTAATTAAATAGTGCGTGCTAAAATTGGAGAGGTCATGCCCTCTCCCTATTGAAATCCTTACCATTTCAAAAGTGTTTCCTGCCTTGAATTTGCATGAACAATTAAAACTTTGAAAATGTTTATAGACTGCAGATTTGGAAGCAGACAGGAAAATCTGATCCAATCAAATTAATAACTTGAACTTAATAAAACTAGACCTTCTAATCAAAATAAGAATTGCTTTAATTTTTTTTTTCTTGCAAACTTGCTGATTTGTCGAAAAAGGGGGGGGGGGAAGAAAGCTTGGTTAGGGAAGGTGTCATTCTGCATTTCTTGAAGACTTGGCTGAAAAGCTCCCCACCAATTCTGGAGACAAGAAGACCTGTGAAGGAGGGACTCTAATGCCTCTGTCGTGGCGCTTCGGGGGCAGGAAATGTTCAGTTTGCTGAGGCTTGATGGATCCTTCAGGGTTCCATGGGAGGCTGCTTGTTGTCACGTGCCTCAGCCTAATAAGCATGGCAAAATGCAGCAACTTCTTGCACACTTAAGCAGTGTGGGGACCTCAGTGCGTTGGGTATTTTGGGAAGATAGAATTTGAACTTTCCACTTATTACAGGAAATTATATGCAGAGAAAATGTTATCTCTAGGTCAAATAAAGAAACTAGGGCCAAGATGTGTATCCTGGGTTTCTTGTATTTTATGTCCTAATCAAAATGTCCTGGTACTGTTTGCTTTGATCACTGTTTTTCCCCTGTCTCTCTTGGTGATATATATATATATATATATATAGCATATGTGTAGCCTCCTGAGAGACTATTTTTGCTGTAGGCACTATATTATTTAAATAAGCAAAACAGACACAGAATGGAAAAAAAAATAAGATTCTTATTGTTCTTATTTTAAAGTAGGAGTCTGGGATGCAGTGACAGAAAGTGATTTGCCCAAGATGAAACAATACTTTTTCCTTAGAGTCCAAGTAGGAGAAAGCTAAAATTTGTAAATCATGAAACCATCCAGGGCACACTGCTCTTTCCAGCAGCACTGTTTATTTTTCAGCTCTTACACTGTGCTTCACATTTCTCTGTGTTTGAGTTTGTCCAGACATCTCTTCTATGACCACTGTTAATTGCCCATGGGTGCTTACAAAAAAAATGACAAACTTAACCTGCTAGTTGACAGCAATTGCTTCTTTCTTCCAATTTCTTCTTCCTTCTGAATTACAGCCTCAAACATTCTTTGACCATAATAAGATAAAATAGTCCCTTAAATATTGAGGTCAGTGGAATTACATCAGGACTGAGCGTAGCCTTGTCCCGCTGGTTAAACAGTGGGATGTGGTGCCTTCCTGAGCCACGTGCTGGCTTTTAATTAACTGTGAGCAGAGGCAGGAAGGTGATGTGGCCTAATGATGGTTATTCATGTGCTCCGTAGCAAAAATTGCCTCCGAGCCTGTGTCATCTGTGGAAGAGTTTCAATTTTTTAATGTGGACTGGATGGCCTTGAGGTTATTATGAAAGCTTTTAAAATTCTAAATAGGTTTCAGACCAGCTTCTTTTTATTTTTTCACCTTTAGCTCATATAGCGTTATTTCAAATACACATTTGATATATATGAATCATTTTGTATTTTATACACAGGAAAACACTTTTTTTTAACTAGAATTTTTTTTTGAGGTGGGGCTCCTTTTTGAAGTGTGTACGGTGCATATCTTTATTTTCCCTAAATTCACATTCGAGTCCCACTATGCTGTTCTGAAAAGCCCATTTTGTACATTTAAAAACCAAATGGGAGCTGATGAGACAAATCCCTACTTCCGAACATTGCAGGGGTCAATTTCAATATATTGTGGACAAGGGAATATAGGTAAAATTGCTTGGGGCGAAGAAATCTTGCCTTTGACTAATCTGCAGTGGCTCCCTGGCAAGATATGCAAACGCATTTCCAGCTGAGAAGCCAGCCCAGCTCTTCCAGGTAGTAGCAGTAAAAGTCTCTGCAAAAGTTTATACCACAGAATCCAGTGGATTTTAGTTCATTTGGGGGACATTTTGCAGCTACTACACAAGGTTTCCAAGTTCTGCTTATTTTTAGAGTTTTGGGGGTATAAGAGGTGTATAGTAAGCCAACAGGTTTGGATGAAGATAAGCAGATTATACAGATTATCTGGCAAGGATGGATTTTAAACTGTTGCGATGCTGTGTTGCTGGTGTATCAGGGAAGTCCGTTAGATTGAGTGAACCTTGAATGAAAAGGTTTTCTTAAAAGGTAGTGACAGTTGAGACTAAAGGAACACACTGTGGATTTGGTCTCATTCCTTCCCTCAGTGTGAGACAACAGGGATCCAGTCTTGTCATCAATTATGGTTGGTGTCAGGAGTTGCCCTAGGTCCCCCCAGGATCTGGTAATGTGGTCAGTGACTGAACTGAGGCTTATAAACAGCTTGCACACCAAAGCCCTTTGCCAGTGGGGCTGCTAAAAGTGTGTTGTGAGCCAGCTGATCCAGAAGTCTCACAGCCTTCTGTGAGAAACACTCTCAGGTCTCTGTTTCCCCATGAGAACCCTGCCCTTCGAGCAGCAGCTCATTAGTGTTGCCTGGCAATTGCAGTGGGCAATGTAAAAGAGGCATCTGTGAAAGGGACACGCTGGACCCATCCAAGGACACACGGTTTCTGAATCCTCTTACTGAAGTTGCTACCTTTGTCCCTTGCCTACTTGTTGGATGCGAAGTCTCTGCTCCTGACAGGATTCAGTTTTGCTTTCAGGTTAAAAGGACCTCGGCATCGATAACAATGTAGGAACTCCTGTTTATTGCTCTAGGCATGATGCTGGGTGCTCTGGCACAATTATGGAGCTATTCTGTGGTCTAGATGAGGTCTTCCTCCTCCCCTCCTCTTTTTTTTTTTTCATCAACAATTGTGATAATTGAATAAGGCAGGGCAAAAGCTGAAATACTGTATCTACATGTTAGCTACATGAGCTGCATGCACAGCTGTGTTTAGGAGATGCTTTTCTCCTACACACGTGTATTTTCTTTTTTTGTCCTCTTAAGTGATCTAGGTGTAGCCAAGAATTTCAAATACAGTGAGTGTTTGAAATTGGTATTTGTTTAGTTATTTATTAATTCCCAGCAAATAGTCACAAGACCTTCTATCCTTTTATTTCCCACTTCGCCAAAGCAAGTATTTTCTCCAGGTATTTCTCCTGTCAATATACTTTGCCATGCAATTCTGCCTCTTTATAGGAGCGGTCTAGTTGATTCATATGACTTTTTTTTTTTTTTTTGGAGGGGGGTTTTAGTGGGCATACAATCCTGTCTGTTCCACTGCTTACCAAGTTCACCAAAACAATCCAAAATGAGCTAAATGTCTCCCTTTGCTGAACGGAGAACAAGAAAAGTGAGGTTATTCTATACTCCTTTTCCTACCCTTCACTCTTCCCTTTGTTTTAGAGGATGTCAAGGAAAGAAATTTTAATATATAAAATAAACTTGCACTAATCCCAAGCACTTACCTTGCTTACACTAATCAGAAAGGCCAGAATATCTTGCATCATTGCTATAGAAGTGAAGGTTGGGATTGAAAATGAGCCACTTAAGCCAGTTAAAATAGCATACTTTTTATTTTATAAGGAGGTCTTTCTGTTTGTTTTTGAGGCCTAATGACTTGGACATACCGGTCAGAGAAAAGCTCTTTTCAGTGATGGTTACAATATCCTGCCATGAAATGAAATATTTTTGGAAATCTCTAGCCCACTTATTTTCATGTCATTAGATAATGATTTCTGTGCAGAGTACAAGTGCCGTTTCCTACTGATAATCATTATTTTTCAGAAACAGAAGGAATCCAATTGGAAATTTGTGGAAGAACTACTCAAAAAATCCATTGATGCTCAAGTAAGTGTGTAAAAGAAGAAATAATGAACAAGAAAGTGTCAGGGACGTTTTTTGGAAAAGCCAGTGCATGAAACAGACCAACTAACAAGTGTAATTTGGAACTCTAGTGTTTTTATCATAGGTAAATTAACATCCTTGATGTTGCTGAGCTATGGATGTATACACAGTTCCCTTCTTGTTAGCAGTTGCACTTCCTTTAAAGTGATTGTGCTCGATGCTAAATTGTCAGATAAAGGAAAAAGATAATTAATCCTGCAAGGGTATATGGCTACTCTGACAAGATGTATTCAGAATAAGAACTGGATGCTTAGAAAATGTAAACCATGCACTGCCTGTAAGGATATCAAGTTGAGAAGACATGATGAGGGAGATAGTCAGTTGCATTGAAAATTCAGCTATATCCTCAGCACAGCGGGAAGGTGACTTGTCTTGCTGAGCAATTTGTCTTACAGGCTTGAATCAAACTCTTACTGATAAGGTTCTAGTTTCTGAGCACTCATTTCATACCTTATCATTTTTCTTTCTGCAGAGCTGTTAATGCAATGCTTCATGGCCCAGAGGTCAGAATTGACCTCCTTTTAAAGTGCTTTTAAATATGCTGTTCATCACATTTTTAAATATGTTACGTTGCAGCTCTATAAATTTGTTCTGAAGCTGCATGGTACAAATTGTAATTGCTATAACAGCAACACCTACAAAAATAATTTCTTTAATTTGTATATGCTTAAAGTGAGAATAAACAGTTTTATCTTTTCTATGTGGTCTCGCATGAAATAATAACAATCCTGCAAAAATCTCTATTTAAAAACAGAATAGGAACGGGTTCTTTTCTATTATCATTGCTGCCTTGTCTGGGCTTCAGCAAATACTGGGGCTGAAGCTGGAGTTAGGAATAGCAGTAACTGCTAAAATACACTTCTTTCAAATAAAAAGTATTTTGAAGTAGCTGAAACAATAGATTGGATAATGGAAAATCATGCAATACGTAATCCTTGAAGAAATGCAAAATTTGATAAATAGACTTCAAAGGGAGGAAAACTTTCTTGGACCATGCAATTTAATGAAGGCAGATGGACTTTCAGAATACTTGTTCTTAAAAATAGTAACTGATATCCCAGTTTCAGCGATGTTACAATTATGTCAAAGACACTTGAAAGAAAATCTTCCTCATATAAAGAGGAACTCTCAGCATCTTAACTACATTTCTAAAAATTACATTCTGCCAAGAAGATCTTGTAGCAGTATCTGTTTGAACATCTCCCCCATGTTCATACATAGGTCTGCCTGTGGTCTTGGGATTAGATGTTTAATATTCGCTATACTTCATTTTTAAATGCTTCAGTGTCTATATTTGGAAAATGTAACAGAGTCATGCTGAGCCAGGGCATTCACATCAAAAAAGGTAGATCTATCTTACCCCGACTTAAAATATATTTTAATTTTATATAAATATTCTTGGGGCTAGCATGTTTGATTTTAGTTATCTCTTAATGATTGTAGTTGAGGAGATATTCTGTGTCTTGGTTATGGGGTCTTTTAGCATATTGAAAGATGAACTCTTTTTTGAATGATTTTGCAATGTATATTTTAAAATGTGTCCCATTTGTGTACATTGAAACTATAGTGATTGAGATTGCTTTTTTGATGGTTACCATTCTGTGAGAGAAATTGGAGAGATGTAGATGAGCTAAGTCATAAAAACCGTAAGTGGCAAATTATTTTCCTGTAAGGCATCTTCTGTATGTCAGCAACCAGAGAGATGGTGGGAGAACCCTCATGGTTACTCGGATTTCTGTAGGAAATAGTCCTCTTTTCTTCTATTTATTATTTTGAATTAAGAATACTCTAATGTCAAATTTAAATCAAATATACAGCTTTTAGGCATGTTAGAAATTGCAACTAGATGGCAAGTTGAGGAGACTTGAATAAGGAATGAATAATGACACTGTAATAGGAGACAAAAATCTACTCTAAGATCCAAGGGCAATGAGTTTCAGATTTAAAACAAACCATCATGTACCAAATTTATGCTTGCAACTACTACCAACAGTTTAAGTATTAAGTAATCTAGGTATTTTAGTTTATATTTTAGTTTATATTTTAGTTTATATTTTAGTTTATATTTT